GCTTTAAAAAAAAGATGTGTGCATGTGGGTAGCTGCAGCAGCCCATCTGTTTCTGTGGTAGTACGCATTTGTGGTGCTGAAGCCTGACTTGCAATCAGTCACATAGATCCTTCTTGATTACAACTACAATATTAACTTTCACTCAGCTATTATGAATTCTCAAATTGCTTCTCCATTTCATGAATTACTGAGAGAAAAAAGATAACTACAGCTAAACCTAGGAGAACTCAGTATGGCATTTCTGAAAATCCAAAAAGGAGGGTGTTTCACTGCAATCTTCTTATACCTGAAAGCAGAAACATGTGTGCATCTCTCCTGATTTGAAAAATACTTACTTGCTTCAAAACAGGATGGTCCTGCTTCTTTCAGTATAGGCAGTTCCTCTCATATATTTTTCCTCTGTATTTTCTGCTCCAAGTTCTGGGTAATTTTGATAATTAGCCAAAACTTGGAGAGGAATTAATGAAGCAGGCAGAAATCCTATTCCATTTTTGCCCCTGTGACTTGGGGCAGTGGCAAGACAATGTTATAGTATCTTGCTTTTTCAAAGTATCTTATATCATTGGATAGTAGAAAGTAGACATGAAATCTTATAATTGGCATGCTTTTCTAAAAATGCTGCAAATATGCCAAATAATCTGAAATATATAAACATTAAATAAAGGAAAGCAACATTTCTTCATATACACAAACAAATATAACCTAAAAACAAGATTAGTTCCTGTTATTATTCAGGGCTGGTAAAGTCTGAAAGGGTTAATGCTACAAACTCATAGTGGGTTTCCTTCTGCACCATCTGAAGTGGGGAATGTAGTCACAGTCAGTTAGTCACATCAATGAATACTCAGAAACACATCTGGGGGCTAAACAAACAGTTCCCTGCCTGCCTCTTTTCTGTGACACAAAGCAGTCAAAGAAACATCCACAACTGTTGACACTTGAATCTCTATTTTCGTGCAAATGTATTATTAGGAAGCAAAACTTTCCATCACCCAGGTAGGTCTCAATGCTGTCGTATATTTCCAAATGTAACTTTAAATTGTCCCTTTTTGAGAAATGATATGTGCATGCTTTAATACCAGAATAGTTATGGCAGAGTAGCCTAAAACAGGAAACTAACGGTGAGGATTTTGAATGCTGCATTGTCTTATGGGTTCTTCACAAAACTGGCCCAAGGTTTATTCAGTAACTCTTTGGGGTTTTATTTAAGGTCCATCTTAACATGTTTATTATTAGTGAATACAGGACTGCCTTGTACCATGTTTATTCATACCCACATATTACAGAGGATCACATGCTTATATATACACCAATCATGTAATGGTCCAGTTTAGTGAATTCCATGGCATGTTTTGAAGTAGACCATTCTACCAGACCATTAGAGAAGATGACTAACCTTCTAAATTAAAATTGTAGTGCAATCTTATGCACATCCCTGACAAGCAAGTCCTATGTAGGGCAATGAGATTTACTCCCAGCTGAGCACATAGTGGATTGTAGCCTTAAAGTAGAATGGCTTGTTTCCCTGCTTCCCTTCTTTTTAATTCTTTTATATTCTATTTGTGTGTTTTATTTTAGTCCTATCAGTACCTTTGTAATTAAAAAAATACTTTAAGAAAACATAGAGTTAAAAAATAAAAAGGGACTCTTTGGTACAGGTTTGAAATGAAGTACTTCCAGGGTACTAATTGTTTGCCAAAGAATGAGAGGTCACTCATGATGAATCACTCTTTTCTCCCCTGCCCTCCCCCCACCCCGTGCATGCCCTGTCTGTTCTTGATAGCTTATTCAAGTGAAGAAACTTATCAATTTCATGCAGCATCTTCTGGCTCAAAGATTAAAGGTATTGCATTTTTCATTACTCATTTTTACATGCATATTACAGGGTCTCACAGCTTATTAGATTCTGCAAGTGACCTGTTGTCTTTGGCTGAAAGCAACTCAGCAGTGGGGGTTTGTACCAAAGAACTTAGAGCATCAAATGGAGGCACCACCAGACCAACAATGTTGCAAAACAGGCTTGGGCCTGTCCTTCCTGGGACTTCCTTCCTCCCTTCAACAGTCCCCAATGCACCCTCCAAATCTAGAGGACCCTCCAGAACAGATGGGGAAGGTGCATGAGGTGGAAGAAAAGAGGAGGTAGAAGTCACATTCCACAACTGTCTCCTACTGCTGGTGGAATGAATCAAAATGCATATGTTTATTTTCTAACAACAAATATTTATATATAGAACACATAAATATAAAGATATTTGTGGATAAGGCTTATGAGATCATAAGCACTACTACTGTGCTTATTTTGATGAAGAACCGATTGGCTATATGCTGATGACAGAGGAATGTGATGTCAAAAGAAATGACACTACAACAGGGGTGCAGAACCTCTGGCCCACAGGACTAATGCAGCCTGCAGGGCAGCCCAGTCTGGACCACACCATATCCTGGAAGTTCTCCAGATGGTGGGATTTAGGCTGCAAGCTCCATGCCCTGGAAGAAGCCCTCGGGGGGTATCTTCACTGCTAAAGCTGATCTGATCAGAGTGCAGAGCAGCCTGGCCAGTCACCATGTTGGGAGGAGGTACAGATCCTTGCCTCCTTCCAACGAAAAGAAAAGAAAAGAAAAGAAAAGAAAAGAAAAGAAAAGAAAAGAAAAGAAAAGGGGGAAGGGGGGAATGACATTCCTGACAGGATCTAACAAGTGGGGTGGGAGCAAAGTGGCCCCTACCCTGAAAGATTTGTTCTTCCCTGCATCACGGTGACCATGTGCTTCTGAAGCGGTGATTGCTTGTCTTGGGCTCTTCTTTACTCTTGTTCTCAAGCATTCGGCATTCTGCTTATTTTTCTCCACTGTCTCATGCCTTACTATACGTGTGCATAAGCACACACCTATAGAGTCACACAAATACGGAGCTCTCCCTGGGCGAATGGTGCTGAACACATGCCAGCTGCAGTCAAACGAAACGAGTTGCTATGCGGTGAGCACATTACAGTGCCATGCCACCGCAAATCCTTCTTTCTGCACGTTGGCATTCAGCCGCTACACATAAATTGCTGGCCACTCAAAAAGTGCTGCCACATAGTGTAATTTTTGGTGACTTTCCCCCATACACACATGGAACCTTTGGCATATACCACTAATTCTAAATACCTGACAAATAACCATGACTGAAGTGTGGTGCAGTGAGTCAAAGGAAACATCTGAAATGTATTTCTAGCATGCAGCATTAATGCAAATCTAATCATATTTAAAGCTTTAAAGCATAACAGATGTCGGGTTGATAAATAAACAGCATTGCCGTTTAAAAGGCTTCAAAATATAACAGTAAAATCAAATGCAGACAAAGGGTTGGCCTTCTCTTCATGAAAGGACTCTGAACATAGAAGGTGCTTCCTCCTGATGGCAATACTGACATTTCTGGCAGTTTCACTGAGAGAGGAATTTAAAATAGATTGAGCCATCAGTGTAGTCTCCAAAGGATGAACCGCTCGTGGCCCTCCAGATGTTTTGGCCTACAGCTGTCATCAGCCTTAAGCAACATAGCCATGAAGGAACCAGGTAAGGAACCATGGAAACCAAAACATCTGGAGGGCCACACGTTGACTATTAACTTAGCCAAAATCAATACAAGGAAATAGGATTCATTTAAATCAGCAGGACTCGTGGCTCACGGATTTGAATTATGGTATTAAGCAGCATCATTTACTTTATCAGGCTTATGCCAGAGAAAGGTCCTAAAATGGGAGAAAGACAAAGAACACACAAGCGAGGAAGCAGAGTGGTCATAGTCATCTCATTTTCTTCAGGCTCATGGCCAAGGGCGAAATAGAGCCTTTCCATACACATTTTCCCAGTATATTCCACAACCACTCAAATAAATTTTGAGTCAGTATTTATGACCTACCAAGCAAAAGCAAAATATCTTTCATGGAAAATGCCCAGGGCCCCCATTTCAGAAACAAGAATCAAGTTCAATGTGAACTTGAAATGTCTTCTCGAGGTGCTTTAAACAAACAGCAAATAGACTGAAAAGAATCTGGGTACAAAGTCATTGCTGGCTATCACAGTTACTTCTTGTTTTGGCTAGCTGGGAGACAAATGATAGTGGTGGATCAAGGAACAATTGGTTTTTACAGTCAGCTAAGCTAAGCTTTATTTTGTTCACACAACTCTCATGTCAAAATTGTTCTTCACTGAGAATGCTATTGAAAAATGCTATCATCAGAGCAATCTGTTGGCACTCGCTTTGTGTAATGCAACTGGCCCGAATATGCAGCCTTTTAAACACAGCCTGACGTTGTCACATAGATCTGGTCAGAAAATCACACTGAACAGTGCAGTGGGGAGAGGGAAGGCCTAGATTTTCTGACCCAGCCCATGCTTGCAGCTAGATTGGTGCCCATGTTCTCTTGGACTCATAACTCTGGACATCCTATGCATAGTTCTCTTGCACGTATCCCATTTGTGTCAACAGGGCTTGTGCAAAAAACAGCCGAATGCATGTGCTCTAAGACAGGACAGCTAAACTAGACTTGCAAACCCTAAGCCCCCATTTCTCAGGAGCCCTACCCTAAAGAACTGGCCCAACCTGATCAGTCGTTCCTGATATTGGTCCCTGTTTTCACATTCCTTCTCCTTGTTGCTCTGCTGTTAACATTGATCAAGAATGTGATGACATACTTACAGGCTTATATTGCTCTGCTTCTCTCAGGAGCTCACTTAAAGCAATAACACTGAAAGTTTACCCTTCTGCCTGAATGCTGAGCCAGATGGTCTTTCCAGCAGTAGATTTGTAATTTAGTCCTTTGATTGCCTTTTCAATTGTTCTTTTTCATGTTCCGGCTCTCACAGCATTTTTGTCAAGGAATTACTTCCACTGACAGGCAGTGGCCCTAGAAGAGAGGTGACCTGGTATGTTCACGCAAGGTCACATTGCCAACAGGATTGGATTTAATCACATCATAGCTCATCTTTTGTTCTATTTTTCAGATATTGACAATATCATGGCTTCTTTGCCTGAGAAGATGTCTCTTCAGATGATATCAACTGTTAATTCTTCCCTGGTCCAGCCAGGATTTTCTGTGATGAACTTTGATGGACAATTTTTCTTGTTTGGACAGAAAGGTTGGCCAAAGAGATCCTGTCCTACTGGAGTCTTCCTCCTTGATTTCAAAAAGGAAGAACTCAAACTGAAACCAGCAAACTTCTCCAAAGATTCCTGCTACCTTCCCCCTCTACGATACCCTGCAATCTGTGCTCTCAGTTTGATGCAGTCTGGAAAAATCCAGTACATGATCCATGGAGGGAAAACACCAAACAATGAACTTTCTGATAAGCTCTATGTCATGAGCATGGTCAACAAGAATATCAAGAAAGTCACGTTTAAGTGTATTGAGAAAGAATTAGTTGGGGAGATCCCTGAAGCCAGATATGGTCATACCATTAATATGGTCCATAGTCAAGATAAAAGTATGATCATTATAATTGGAGGAAGATCATACATGCCTCTTGGACAGAGGACAACTGAAAACTGGAACACTGTGGTTGACTGTCTGCCACAGATATTTCTGGTCGACCCTGATTTTGGATGTTCCACTTCCTATGCCCTCCCAGAGCTTCAGGGTGGATTCTCTTTTCATCTTTCCCTTGCCAGAAATGACACCATCTATATCATAGGAGGCCATTCCATTGAAAATAATACCAGACCCCCAAATCTCTATAGAATAAAGGTTGACCTTCCCTTAGGCAGCCCAGATGTTAGCTGCTGTGTTTTGCTAGGTGGTATTTCAGTGTCCAGTGCCATCATGACCCAGGTCAAAGACCAGGAATTTGTCATTGTTGGGGGCTATCATTCTGATAACCAGAAGAGGATGGTTTGTAATACAGTCCATGTAGAAGATAACAAGATAGAGATAATGGAAAGGGAGGCACCAGAATGGACCCCAGAAATCAAGCACAGCAAGATCTGGTTTGGGAGTGACATGGGAAATGGAACGGTATTATTTGGCATTCCAGGAGACAACCGGCAACTTGTTTCAGATGCAAACTACCTTTACAGGTTAAGATGCAAAGGAGAAAGTGATCAGGACTCTGAAGAGCTGACACAAATGTGCAGTCAGAGTTCAACAGAAGATGCAGGAGATTCTACTCCTTTTGAAGATTCAGAGGAGTTCACTTTCAGCTTTGATGTGAATGATATTGACACCTATAATGAAGATGATGAGGGAGATGAGTCAGGAACAGGCTACTGGATCACCTGCTCTGCAGGCTGTGAGATTGATATCAACACCTGGGTGCCCTTGTACTCAACAGAACTCAACAAGCCAGCCATGATCTTCTGTTCCCATGGAGATGGCCACTGGGTACATGCTCAGTGTATGGACCTATCTGAGAACATGCTTATCCACCTTTCACAGGTAAATGTCAAGTATTTCTGCACAGAACATGTCAGTTTGGCCCAGGGACTGAAAACTCCCAAGGAGACCCCTCCTTTGGAAAAGCAACCCATGAAAGTGTTGCACAGGAAAAAAAGAACACAAATCCTCACCCCTGCAAAGAAATCCTTTATTCGGAAATTATTTCAGTAGATTCACAATGCTGAATCATAATTTGGTATGGAAAGCTAAAATCCCAAATCCCAAAGTGGTTATGGTTCAGGTAGATTTTAGACTTCCTGGTAATTTCTTGGTTCTGTTTAATGTTTTAACCTTTTGGAAAAATCACATGGTGCCTAGGCTGTTCTTTATATTACAAACACAAGCGTTGTGCCCAATCTAGACAAATAAGGTACCAGATTAGTTCATGTTCTGAATTGCATGTTCTGAATTGGTATTCCGCTGGTATTGAGCAATGCTACCTCTTCTGAAGCCAAGATAGAAATCAAAACCTTGTAAAGCAGGGGTGAGGGATCCAAGGCCCACAGAACAAATTTGGCTCCCCTGGGATCCCAATCTGGTAACACACCCTTTTCCTTCCTCATCCCTTTCCCCTGACCACTGATTATTTGGTGGTTTCCCAGCTTTTGTGCACTTTCTCCTCTTTATACAAAGTGGATATGGCACAAAGAACCTGCCTGATGCAAAATTAAACCTCCGGTCCATCTAGTCTAGCATTGCCAACACTGACTGGCAGCAGCTCTCCAGGATATCAGGCAGAGTTCTGTTCTGTCTTACTTGGAGATGCCCAAGACTGGTCCTGGGACCTCCTGTATGGAAAGCACAAGCTCTATCATAGTTCAAGCAAAACTATGCTAGTATTTTGGGGATACTGGTCCTGCCCCTTTGCATTCCCACCTCTGTAATGCAGCCATCCTTCCCCAAGAGCTTCCACAAAACAGAATTTGGTTCTCAGGTTGAAAGGGGTTCCCCACACCTGTGGTAAAGAAATGCTAATATAAAGTTAAGTCTGAAGCCTTGAGCTTAATGCAAAATGGAGGCCAGGATACCAATGCCATTGTTTCCCCCTCTAGTAGGAGGAAAAGTTGTTGACACCCTGCCTGCCTCACAAGAAACTGTTGGAGAAATTTTCTTCCCCTCCTCAGTGACATTGTACCCCCAATTTCACAGCCTGCCAGTAAGATGTAGAACATCAGGCGGCCATTTTCTCTCAGTTCTATTTCACAGGGCACCATTTACCAATTTACTTTTACTCAGAAACATGCACAACAGACAGTTAATAATTTTCTTGAGTTGCAAAGAGGAGCCTCCTGGACAAATTTATTTATTTATTTAGGAGACTTCTATGCCGCCCCATTTGCTGAAGCCTCGGGGCAGCTCACATCCATAAATAAACTTCCATAGAATAATATAAATTAACAGTATAAATTAAGTCAAATGAACTCCTGCACAGGTAGACCTGCTTGGCTTCCTGTCTGTGAGGAACACAGCAAGCTACTTTATCCCAAATTGGACCATTTAGTTCAAAACTGGCTGCCGCAGGAGCGGGAGGCATTTCAGAGGCTGCATGAACACCATGACTGGCAGGAGCTCTCCAGGAGGGCAACTCTTCCAATCCTGTCTGGAAATGCCAGCTATTAAAACGTGTCAACTTCTTCAGAGAAAACATGGCCAGCACCACAAAGCTTCAGCAACTCCTGTTGCCATTCTGTCACCCAATTAAAACAGCATTTGCCTTGTCAGGTGGATGAGCTGTTTGAAGCGACCCTTTGTTTTATGGTTGTTTTTCTTGCTGCAGACTTCTCTGATGCAGTTTCGGTGTGTCTTTTGGATTGCTTTAATATGATGTGAGCCCTCCTTCTGCTGCTGGATCCAGCACTGTCACTTGTGGCACAGGTGGACCTGATGGCACGGAGCAGCTCTTATCAGCTTAGGGTGATGGGCCAACTATGTCCTTATCTGGACAGGTAGAGCCTAGCCACGCTTACCCATTCAACCATACCCACTCTGGTATGGTTGAATTATGGCAATGCATTATAGGTGAGACCACCTTTGAAACAGTCTGGAAACTTCAGCAGGTCCAAGCCAGGGCTGTGAGATTGCTAACAGGGTCTGACCAGTGTGATCATATTAGGCGAGTACTTTGCCATCTGCACCAGCTGCCAGTCCAGTCATTCAACATGCTGTATAAACCTTCAAGGACCCAAATGGCTTGGGGAAGATTACCTGAAGAACTGGCTCCTCCCATATATTCCTGCCTTCGCCCTAAGATCTTCTCCAAAAGATCCTTCGATGAGATCCTCTCCAGAGGAAGTCAAGTGGCTGGCTACTAAGCCTTTACTGGGTACTGGCTGGTTACTAAGAGGAAGTCAAGTGGCCTTTTCAGTTGTGGTGCCCTAGCTATGGAATGAACTTCACAAGGAGGTTCACCTGGAACTACATTGTGCTCTTTCCAGTGCCAGGTGAAGACCTTATTTTCCAATGGATTTTCAATTCAGTCTGTTTTAAATCCTGTACTATGTTTTAAGTCTCTGTATTGCTACTAGTTCTTAGTCTGGCTTTTATTTCTATTTTATACTGCCATTCTAACCAGTATTCTAAATTCTAAACATTCATCAATGTTTATACTGTAGTTGATGTTTTAAAATGGTTTTAAATGGTTGTGAACTGCCCATAGAGTGTCAGCTATTGAGTGATATAAATAAAGAAACAAATAAATAAATAAATAAATGTTTTTAACTGGATGGACAGAATATGAAAATTTAAATGAATAAAATAGGTGAAGTTCTGCAGAAAGAAGCGAAGCTGCCTACATCACAGTGGAAGAGGCAATAAGCAACCTCAGTGAACAGACAGTGATACAGGCCTCACTTTAGCTTACAGTCCATAGAGCGGATTTTTGTTTGACTTTTTCAGTGAAAGAGGCTTGCAAGCCTGGTCAGGTAACTGAGGCTTTGGGCAAGAAAGCAGCTTGTACTAGCATCCTGATACACAACATTTGCACAAAGCCTATCATACACATCCTTCCTTCAGCAGAAGGTTTTGTGGTGCTATCCTCCGGCCTCATTCACCTATTTGGGGACAGGGGGTTCCAAATTATGGCATTTTTCCATTGTAGTCCACCTGTGTTTTTCCCATTATTTAAAAGACAAATAGAAAGTGGATATTTTTTTTCGTTTCTTTGCTGGTCCAAAAGAAAACTGTTGCAGATTGTGTGCATGTCTACAGCATGAAGACTGAGTGTGGTAGGTAGCTCTCTTACATTCCCGAAGAACCAGGCCAGAATGGTTAGTATTTCTTTGGGTGTCCTGCTACACAGATATCGCTCTTGCAGTGTGGAGAATGGGCAGCACTCACTGGCACTTCAAGGCTCCAAGTGGGAGCAGTAGCTGCAGGAAACATGCTGGGATGACTCACCCACCCAGCTGGCTGGACCGAAATGGAGCAGCTGCAGCTTTCTAGACAGGATGGGACAGAGACAGAGAGCTCCCTTCTTGAGCCATTTATGGTGCATCTGTCTTGCCCTACTCACAGCTGGTTACAGGTCCTTTAGACAACAATATGACCCTGCAGATTCATGTCTGTGTCTAATCAGCATTTTAAGGAAGGTATTTGTTTGTTTTTCAAGCAGGGATAATACTATGTTAATTATGAAAACAAATTAACATAGTGTATTATGTATTATGGGGAGATGGACTGTTACATAATTAAATAATTCTAATAATCACATTTTAAATGCTAAATATAAGTTCATGCATATAAATTGATGTCATTTTTCTGGTGGTGCATTTCTTCTTTTGAGTGCAATCCTTAAGTAGCCACCCTACTTTTCTGGTGTAATTGTTAAGACAGCCACTTTGACCGAGATTAACACTATATGTATGCAACTACACATACATACCTTCTTCACATGTTCACATAAAGCACAGCCCTGTGCATGATGCAGACAAGCAGCTGCATGGGATTTACATCATGCTGGGAACCTGAACGTGCGCATAGGGGCTGTGCTTCAGAACTTCCTGACCACCTTCTGGGTGGCAGCAGGACCAGGAACAAGCCAGCAAAAGCATTCCAACACTCCAGTCGTGCAATTTGAATCAGGTGCAGCAAAGGAATGCCTGAATAGGGTTGCATAAAGGCAAAAATCCAGTCTTCCTTTTATTGGCATTTGGTCAATAAAGGCTACAGAAAGGACAATATTTTTCTCTTCTCTTTCACATGTTACCTCCCAATGGTCCTGCTGTAATCATTCTCCCTATCAAAAGTCAAATTCTTTTGATCAAAATATTATGCAACATACATTTTGTGTAGAACTTGTAGATTTTGCTACTTTTTATATAAATTATTTCTCTTATTTTAAATAAAGTGTATCATTCTTTTGATTATTAATATTGCTTTAAGCTGCTGAAAGTGAACTGTAAAAATTTACGCTCATCCATCTCAGTCCTTTGCAAGTATTTCTCTACCTATTTGGCATTCTGAAGAGAGGTGTGATTTCCCTTGAATGGGTTACAAAGGCTAGAGAATCTGCAAAGGCTGCAGAGTTTAAAACTCCTCCAACACACAGACACACTTGAGTTCTGATCCAGGTGCCTCCTTGCACCTGGACTATGGTAAAAATGAAAGAAAGAATTGCTTGCTAGAATTGGATTTGAAATGATGTCTGTTTTGAGGTCCTTGTTGGAGAAAAGATGGATTTACCAACCTGTTTTCTTCCTGCTTCTGTGTGGCTTACTAGCTATGTTGGTTCTCAGATTCCATTTTGAATCAGGTCCCATCCTGTCTGATAGGCAGATGGATTCCCAAGGGCCTGAATAAAATTCATTTAAGATGCCACCACTGGCTGTTGTTCTTATTTTTCTGTCTGCTTACTGAAAAGGACTTTTTTGTCAGAAAGCATGACTCCTCATCCAAGAAAACAAGTTAAACAGGCAAGCATCTCCTTATCTATAGCTTTCAAATTCAAGCTGCTCTTTAAAGCCCACCCTTTCCTGAATCAATCAGCACACAATGCTCATAATCAGATTGCAATGTAATGGTAATCTTGTCTTTGGTATGAAATTAGAAGTAAATCATATCCAAACTCAACAGTGCAAAACTGTATTCACATTGTGCTTAGTTCCTGAAAGAAAGAAAGAAAGAAAGAAAGAAAGAAAGAGAAATTCTATTTGCATCTCAGTGCAATGTGGTGC